GGGGGGGGGGGTCTGAATTGAGCGATCAAATATTAGACCCGGACGTCCCAACACTTGCTTCGCAAGACAAACTTAAGGTATCCCCTAAAGGGCTACCTTTCGTGATCATTCAACTCTTCCCCTCAGAAATCAGCTGACGTTTTATTGCAGGCCAGGGGCCCTCAGTTGTGTGCTGTGTCTGGGAGGTCGGTCTGGCTGAAGCATTGGTGGCGGCGGCATTGGTGGTTGCACAGGCTGCACATAGGGCTGCGCATAGGCCCCTGCCAATAACATAGCATGCAAATTAGGAGAGGGGTTGTTCACCAATAATCCAGCTTCCATTGACCACATTGACGTGTCTGTGAAGGAATCTATATATACCTTATACCTTAGAGATCCTTAGAGGAATCCAAGTGCCCATCCTTGATATGAGACAGGATGGGGCACAGGTTGTCCAATTGGAAACGGGCTCGGGCCCTTGGCATACCTAGGCAATTGACAGGTTCCAAGACTCAGCGCAAAAGGAGCATTTCAACTTGCTTCCAGGCTGCACTTGCACTATTCCACCATTCTGCCATGGGTACATTATGATGCCTCTCAACTGCCAATGCTCCAGACCAAGCAAATTGTGCAAACAAACAATCACAGCTGCAGCCTACTCTGCTTGCACCAAGGTCGTCATTGGCGGGCCGACATAAAGCTACAAAATGTGACTAGGCAACTAAGACGCTAATTATTACTCAACCTTGCGCTGATGGGCACGGCGCGCTCACTGCTTCAAGTCCACTTCGCAAATGCAAAGAGTGATACGGTATCTGAATGTATCTGAGATATGAATTACATTGAATTACCATCACATTGCCATGAGACACCATGAGACCATGTTTGGTTCGATGCTCTCTCTCTCTCACTCTCATTTTTGCTCAGCTTCGGAGCTTCGATCACATGGCAGGGGTGAAATGATGCGATCTGCCGTGAAACCGTCGAAATGTAGAGGATGCGATTGATACTGCATGATGCTCCATGATGCTCCTTTAGGATGTTGCGACTCGTTCACCTTCTTCAGGATCTTCCTCTTCTCGTTCGTCCGGAGCGTCTTCTCCTTCCACTTCATCTTCCAATTCACCATTTCGGATGCTGATGATCTTTCGGGTGACGCTCCGCAGCTCTTCCAAGACTTCGAGCATATCTTTGGAATCAGCCAAATCCAGCAGCACCGTATCTATCGAGTGCTCCAAGAGTTCCAGCCAAGCTTCACTTGCTTGGTCAGGATCTTGTTTGATGATGGCGGTGGCGCGCTGCGCCACTCGGATCATCACCGAATACCCGCAAATACCAGGTGGGGACTCGGACCTCGGGATGTCAACTATGCTGTCTGACATGAATACCTTACAGAACAGAAAAGGTTCTTGCCAACCATGTTAAAGCTTGGGGGGTCAGGGGGTCCAGCATGAAAGGTTTATATAAATATGTATAATGTATAACCATAAGCATGATATAAATCATATTATAAGACGTCTGGGTGTAGTATTGCGCTGACATCAGCACTTCTGCACCTTTACCGCCGAGCTTCCATCTGTTTGTCAGCATTTGGATCAGCAAACCAGCATCTTGTTCACGGTGAACAGCGCTCTCAATAGCTGCCTGACATGCCTCCTGCAACCTCATGAGTTGCATCAGTCTGGATATGTCTGGACCCTTCGCTTTGCAATTTGCAAGTAGGCCAAAGAACGAAGCAGTACTGCAGGAGTACAGCAAACAACCAACAAACTTTTGCCAGAATGTTTGCAGCGTCTTGGCAGGGTACACGTCACACGCATCTCCGAATTTGCAAAACCTGAGGTCCACGCTGGATTTCTGCTCGTATGCTGGTCCCATAGCGCAGAAGCGGGGCCAGCTCGCTTCCTCAGCAAATCGAACATGCTGACTGGAAAATGCAGAATCGCTCTCATTCATCCCAAGCTCTGAAATATCTTTGACAAGTGCCTTCCTGTTTTACTGCGTTTTTTCTCGATGCGTTACTGGGGGGCCCAACCTTTGAAGAACAACAAATGACTCATGTTGTGTCGTCCTGTTCCACTTGAAAACTGTTTTTGGGGTGCCACTGCCACTCTTTCATTTTCACAAAATTCCAGCTTTGGCCGGGTTCTCCTTCCAAGCCCAAGAAAAATGTTAAAATGTCATCTTTTCGGCAGTGCAAGATTCCCTGCGGATGATTTCTACAAAAACTGTGGTAATTTCTGCGCAACGATTGCAAAAAGGAACTTATGAAAACTACTATTATTTTTTGGAAATATTAATGGGTTGCCATGTGTCTTGCCATGTCCTGCCAACGGAATCCCTCCTCCCACTCCTTCTCCCATTCCTTCCTTCTTCCCATTCCTCCTGCCCAAGCCCAAGCATCTCTTTTTGGAGTGCAGCTTCCAATTTCCTTCAGGCACCCTTTTGGGTTTAAGGTATCCACACGCTGGAAAAGTCTCTGAAGGAGAAATGTGCGCCTCTGTGGGCTTTAAACAAAGATAGGGAAAATACACTATTGAAAAACAATGTCAAAATCTCCAATCCACCCCCAACCCCCAAAATGGTTGCCCCCCCGGCGAATATGAGGAACATCACATCATATACACGAACCTTACCATAAACAACACTTCTGTGTGGGATGCGGAAGGCCGGGATGGGACACCATGGCTGCAGGGAAAGTGAGGCTGTTGAAAGTTTTTGGAGCCTTGGCAATTCTTCAAGAGCCTCGCGAACAGCAGTGTTGTCCCAAAGCTGGGTTCAATGGTGAGGTTTCCTGGCAGTGAGGCATACACACACACACGTGCAGAAAGTCATGCCCAAGCATGAGCGGCATCCAAGAACGTCCTATTGAAGACTTCTTGCGAATCGCGAAACGGGCATATCGCATGATGTTGTGCTATAAGTCCAGCTTGGCAACCCAACAGCAACTAGCAACTCAATTAGGACTTGTGCTCGGCATTTTGCTGCACAAGTTTTCAGGTTCTCTTTGCTTTCCAGCCGGCGTGCAGTCAATCAAACATCTCCAATGTGCATTTGTCATGGCAGGCAGCGACACAGGAGCAAAACCACAGCAGTGTTTGGCCACAATCCATGTATATATATATATATTTGCACATTAGATACGTATATATAATATATATATATATTTACATTAAAACACACACACACACACACACACATATATATATATATACAAGCATTTCGTGTATGTCTTGGAAAACCCAAACACCGCGTATGCCCATGATGTTTTGCCAAGAAGGCCTCTTCGTATTAAAAAGCATGCCATGGCGTAATTAGATGCATGCTCATGACCGCGCATTCCCATGGCCATACTCCATGTTTCGGAACATGTGCTGCTGTCTATTCAAAGTAAGTTTTGCGGTAAACGTCTGAGTGGACACGACTCCTATCTGTGCAACTTCTAAGATCCATGTGGGGCCTAACCTAGAACTTAGGTCCGGATGTTGTTGGTTGATCCAGTCCGTCCAAACCAATCTTTTGACACACCAAAGTGCTCTCTTTTTACCAGGCAAATTGGAAGAATGGGGCGAAATCCAAAGCCATTGGTGCCTGCTAAAGCACACATGTTATTAATACGTTAAAAATCAAGCCGTTTGTCGCCATCGCCTATTCTTGTCGCATACAACATCCAGGAAACTATTCAGACGATTGCGTACTGTATTCTTCTAGCGTCTAAGCTTGATTCAATAATCTTTGATCGTGCATAAGGCTAGGCCCGTGCAAAGCATATCCGAGCAAATCTCACATCAAGATGTTTCCTACCGCGTCAAACGATATTGTTTCGTCAGCCGCAACGCAGCCATTCTCGCATCTTCCTTTTCAAGCCTCTTTGTTGAACAGTGCTTGATATCCTCACAATCCCTGTGCCTTTATTTCAGGAAGTCTCACGACGTTTACCCATTTGGCACTCACACTGGTGCCCATAAGCCATAAGGGTCTGATTGGAGTCGGTGTCTAAATATAAGCCCATGTCGGGCCTAACTGAAATCTTAGGTCGGTGAGGGGATCCTAATCTGTCCAAACCGTTTCTTAAATTAATTCTCTAAAACGTGTGAAGAAAGTTGTATAAATAACACATGCTTTGAGAAGAAAAAGGGTATGCAACCTTTTCCTGGGGATTCCTGCGTCGTCAGCTTACCTTATGCTTTACACTTGGCGCGGGCGGATTTATACATATATATATAATATATCTGACTATATATGTATATACATTGTAGTAAGCTAACTCAGGGAGAAAAGTGTGCATCAACTTCGCCCATAAGCTCCCAAGCTGAACACTGAGGCAACTGCCATCCAAAGCAGCCCCTGCCTCACCTGAGCCAGAAACAATGGCACTATTAGAGTGCGTTGAAAATAATTAGTGCCCCAACTCCAACACCTTGCTTTCATGGAACAAATTGTGCCCTGTGCCAAGATGCTAAGCAAGCGCAAAGTACAAGCAGCAGACAATCCCGATGCTTTGGCAGTTGCAACAGCCATAGGCTTGGTGGCCTTCGGCAACCAGTCTGTCCTTGAAAAGCAAACAACTGACTCAACATGACTCAACAAACATGTTTGACATTGTTTGACAAATATTGATATATAGCCATACTAGTCTGATCTAGGCAAAGTTCAACAATGGAGTATGTACAGCAAATGCAAATCTAGCGTATCACTATCACGTTGGACCCATATAGGCCCGCAAAGGGACGCTACGGTAGGGTCTTGAAAAATTGGCATAGTGCAGGGAAGAGTCAGGAGTGGGATCAAGTTTTCATTGTTCCGCATGGCCGTGCAAATGCCCTCATCCTCATCTGCGGCCATTCTGTTCACTGCGATTAGCAATGGCAATGCGGTGGCTGAGGAGTCTGAAGCTGTCGCCAACTCCAAAGCATGCAACAAAGCCAATGCCAAATTCTGGGAAACATTTCCATCAACAGGCACACATGCAGTTGCGATCGCTTCCAAAGAACAAGCAGCTGCCACAGTTCGCAAAAGCTCGTCTCCACTTTGCAGTTCGGCCAGCAGGATCGGCCACATGATGTGCAAGGGAAGCGAATCTTTCTGAGGATGGCGTTTGGCTGCGTATGGGATGAGCCGTGCTAGAAGCCGCAGCGCTGCACAGCGAACCCCCGCTTCCAGGTGTGTTGCAAACTCTAGTGCCAGTTCCACTCCGTCAAGTTCTAGCAAATGATTGGAGGTGTCGATGCCATGTCTGCAAATGGAGGCCAAAGCCGACAAACATGCACGATGTAAAGGGAAAGCCAGGGTGTCATCCAGCGGATTGCTTTGGCCCTTGAAGCGGTCAGTTCTCAGCCAGTCAACAATGGCAGTGTGGCCACCAAACTCAATGATCTCCCTAGCATGGCTGTGGGAAAACCACGCGAAATGCCCCAAAAGCAAGATCAGCAGCTCTCCGTCTTGTGCGCTGTACTTTTTTGGTCCGACTCCTTCAGCCAAGACCTCACATAGACGGCGGACCTGATCTCGTTTTGGCCCAGGCTGACGAAGAACTTCGACATCACCACCCAGCTGAGAAAGAGCATTAATGTCTTTCTGACGGATGTTGTGGCTGGAGCTTCCTCGGGGCATTGCCACCTGGGTTGATCCAATGGACATCCAAAGCTGATCTGCCGCGTCGATTCCATCGCGCAAGCCTTTCTTCTTCTGAAAACCTGCTTGCAAATGTAGCTTGTCTTCCTCATTCTGACCCATCGTGCTAGTTGGTGGATTGAACTCCGCAACAAGGTTCTCAATTCCTGAAGTCAGCAAGGTGCCAAAGTGTCCGTTCATAGTTACATACTTTCTCTGCCAGCATTGAAACATCAAGTCATGATTTACATGCCAATGCCATCCACCAAGGAAAGGAGAGCCAAGCTGGCTCCAGCCAAGCAGCCTCGCAAGCTGAACACCGACTTCACCGCGTCGACATCCAAGGAAACCTGATCGAACTGTTTCCGACATGATATTCTCAATTGATTGATATTGTGCAATCCTACAGTCCTACAGGTTCCAAAAGCAGAAATCACGCACATCATTTTCGGCTTTGGTCTCCCGCGACCTGCATGGTGACCTGATCTGGGCCTGTGGACCATACGGTTGGAGGCAAAAGTGCAGAAATGTCACCACAAAGGCGTGAGATCTTGGCCACTGCTCTGGGGCAGTGCTTCTCCAAGGCTCGCGTTCCTTCATGAAGGATTTGAGATGAATCAGGGTGAGCGGCCATGGCCTCAAGAATTGCGCCAGCACCTCCATAAAGGGCGAATGACTCTGCAGAAGGGCAAATGAAACATTAAAAAAATATACCGCGTAAAGTTTGAAACATATGAACTTCTCTTGTTGCTCCAGCATGGTCCACGAGGGCCCAAAGTGCCTCCTCCCGACCGACATGCTTGCAGCGCCAGCTCATCTTTGGATAAAGTGAAGAGAGCTCTGACAGCTGTCACTTGCAATTGTCTGTCAGATCTGTGACGCGCCATAGCATCAACTATCGTTTGAATGCCGCGACGCTCCAGCGACAAAAAGGAAGATCCGAGACGGGAAATAATCAGGATCGCTTGGCAAAGCAAGTCAGCCTGGGCTGTGTGAGAATGTGAGAGTGGTGTACTCATCAAGCGCTCACTTGTGAGCCACTTGTTCCACAATTTGTCTGAGCACCAGCGTGTGCCCAGCCAACCTACCTTGCTTATTTTTCAGGTTCCCCAGCTAGTGTGAAGTCCTTTCTGTCATGATTGCTCCAAAAAGTTCACAAGTTATCTGCATCCAATGTACCTAACATTGCCGCACCTTTCCTCTATCATCCATCCCATCCTTCCGCCCATCCATCATTCAGTTATCTAAATCATGTCCTCCGCAGTCCTAACAACAACTGATTTTGTGAGAGTACGCATGATGCAAAAAGTGATGATGTCTAAGTACTTCTTGCAAATAGCTGGCAATGATACCGACTACCACGCTGAATGGATCCACCGAAGCACTCGTCCAGTATGCTTGCGAATACCAGTCTGAAGAAGCTTAAAGACAGCTGTGGCATAGCCGTTGTTGTACAGCAGCTCTCCCACCGACGCAAGCAGCATGCAGCCTTCTACTTGAATATCTGCATCTTGTTGGAAAAGCCTCATGGAAGTCAGAACTCGCGACAGGCCATGGAAAGTCCAGACCTGCGCTGCAGCAGCTGTTTGGGACAACAAAAGGCCAAGCCTGAATGCCAGGAGCTCTAACATAATCATATAAAATTTGACGTCACTATTGACGTCCCCTCGATTTGTGTGACTTTGTTTACATATTCTCTATAGTCTATGCGGCAATCCCGCACAGACAAGTGAATGGAGGGTTGTTCAGACGAGGACGGGAGCATGCTCCTAGAATGGGGCTCTTCTGGTCTAACGAAGGTTATGTGCAAACGAGGCGAAAGGCATACGCTGTGCTGCTTAAATCAGGAGCAGGCGACAAAACCACTATGGCATAATTAGACCTGGAAGGGAAATTGACTCACGCTCCGAGAAGAAACAGCACACAATCCTATGTGACTGTCCTTCTCAATTTCTTCTCAAAGAAATCGATCTGAAAAATCTGAAAAGGAACTTTGTCACAGCACAGTTCTTTGCTGATGGTGCTACAGTACTGCAGCATGTTGTCGCGGACGAGGCAGGGGAACGAGGAAAACTGATGGGATTTGGATTGTGCGTCCGGTCTCGGGTCGCGAGTGTATACTAGTAGCGTCCTTGCTCCGTTCGTAGCGATGCCCTTTGCTCCTAGCAGCTTCTTGTTCCTAGTAGCGATGCCAGGAGCCCCTAGTAGCGTCCTTAAACTTTGAAACACTGGTTGGAGTTGCGTTTGTGGCTCTTGCATGTGGCTATTCACGCGCGCGCGCACACAGTCACTGGTATGTATACAAATCTGTTGGTCCGTACATTCATCTCTCCATCCTTTTAGTGTTCCAGTTTGATGTTTGTGGAACCTCCCGGATGACATTTTACCAACTACAGTATTGTTTAAATGTGTTCAATATTGTTTAGCTACTGGTAATGTCTCACGCACGCATGATGCACTTGCACGGGATCTTGCAAAGTTTCTTGCCACTGTGTTCACCATAGGCGTCTTCATGTGCATGGGTTGCTGGTTATTTCAGCAAGAACATTTTTGCTTGGCTACATGCCTCATCCAGTTGCTTGCCCAATGTCACCACACGCGCTCCCATCATCGTTGTCTCCCTGGCTCGAACGTATACACGACGTAGGACTTGTCCACCCAACCGCTGCATCTCTTGGTCAGCGGGGAAATTGTCCAACGACCTGCACGGCAAATCATCAAAACAACCAATATTTATCAATATTTCACATACTGTCTGCAGCCCAAGCCACAGCATCAGGTCAGGAGCTACGGACTGCAGCAAAATAGCATCTACGGAGAGAATGTCATGGGCCGTCAGGTTGCGGATTAAATTCACCCCACGGAAAACAACCTTATCAAAGCTGGATATGCAAACGTGAATTAGCCATGGCCGGGTTGGAACTGTTTCAGCAAACAATAGTAACTATAAAGCATTGTATCACAGCTGGCTCAGATGAAGCTGAAGCATGCTGAAGCAAACAAGTCAATGTTCACCAAATTCACCAAACTGGAGAGGCATACTGCACCGAGCTGCTTCTCGGCTGGCAGTGAAATGCCTCATCATCACCAAAGTCCGTTCCTCAGCTTCACCAAAATGGCCATTCAAGGATTCAACGTGGCCAGGGTTTCATGAGGTTTCATGATTATTTTGTCCACCCATAGGCTTCCATAGTTTTGCCCAGGTTCCACCGCATGATGGAGCCGAAGTCTCTGACAGTGCTCTACATCCTGCTCGGTCTTCTCTATCATTGCCTGCCAGCCAAGGGATGCTTTCATGTGAGCCCCTAGCTTTGTGTGCTGCAGCAGCATGTCTGCAGGATTTTCTGATTTTCCTTTATATAGGTGGAAAAATGCCCGTGCCTCCAAGCAAGCCACCAGGGTGTGCATCTGTCCGAAGGAACTGTCAGCCGTGTCCAAGATTTCCTTTGCCGTCAGGCTCACCAGTTGCGACTTCTGCACGGCAACGCTTCCTCCGGGCCGCGAATAGAGTGATAGAATCTCAGTTCTCATGGTGGAGAGGTTCTCCAAAGCTACTTCATCCAAATCGCAGGGAACACCCTTGACCTCAGCTGTTGGGAGAAAAACAACTCACTGCTTACAAAACCCTAATTGCGATGTATTATGATAATCTTAAATTGTTACCTTCTGTCTCTCCCTCCAAAAAATATATATATATATATTATATGTGTGTGTAGTCCGCGTGACCAATGTATACCAATGTCCAACCAAAAGGATCCAAGTGCCTGCTCCTTCACTGTGTCAACAGCTATGCTTGGCATGAAGCATCAAGAAACACACTTAGGATTCTGCTCTTCTGGGTTTCATGAGCTCCCGGATGCTTTCAGCCATGCGGGAAGGATCGATAATATCTTGGCTTGCCACAAGTGGTGCTCTCACCACAACCGCTTGCTTTGAGAGTTTGGAGAACATCGGGAAAACGTGTGGATGCTTGCGGATCGGATGTTTGTTGTCGCCAAGTATGTGAATTAAGGTCCTCAGAAGTTGATCTGGTGGCAAATCCCGCGCATGGAATGCAGAAGTTTGTTGATACAAACCATCGAACGTGTCGCTTGACTTTGTCAATGACGGTTCGGATGTTGATTTGTTGAGACTGGTTTTGTCTCGCATCGTCTGCGAAAATGTTTCCTGTGTATCTTTCAGTGTTGTGAGAGCCCGTGTTAGGGCTATGCTTCTTTTCGTGCCAGTTGGGGACATTGGCTCTGCCTGCTCTGGCTCATCCCACAAAGACTTAGTGGTTTTGGTTCTTTCAGGCCGGCGCTTGCTCACAAGCTCTGGGAGGGGGGCCGAATCCATTCTGGTTGGCATGCGTGGCCCTCGCACGACATCGATCAAGCCCTGATGAAGCAAAGCGATTTGGAGCATCATGGAGTTCCGGCGTAAGTGGCGCCGCTTGGGCACGACATTCTTGAGCTTGAAGGCACCACACATGACTTGCTCGGATGAGATGCCCAGCAAATTCGCAATCTCTTCAGCCACCATGCGGCGAAGTGATTCCAAGTGAGACTCACCATAGCTGATTTCAAAAGGCTCGATGCAAAATTCAATATCCGCCACAGCTGCCAAAACCAGGTCTCCCAGCTGCCGGCCTAAGGATTGAAGGATTTGTGGTGCAGAATGAACTGCAAAGGAAGTTGCCGCATCTACAGTAGCAGCTTCCGGCTGAATGTGCAGAAGTCTCCACGTGTTGGGTTTGTTTCTGGCCCTCTTGGCCCAAATATCGATTTCTTGTGCAATCCCATCTTCATGGCGACCGTGCAGCTTTGCAGGATCGAAAGTTGGACCTCCAATCTGTACCAGGGATAGGCGACATGTCTCACAGTCTATGCTTACTGCACGTGACTCCTCTGGATCCTGGACAAGAGATGGCAATGAGGTGCCTTCGCCGTTCAGGGAGATAGACACTCGCAAAGAGACTCCTGCTATCACACCTGCAACACATTCCGGCCAATCTGTCTGACCTGGAGCATTCTTCACCACATTGCTTGCCTCCTCTCTCAACCGCACTGTGGCACATGGCACGCGAAGCAGGAAGGTGCCCCCGCCACGGGACATCAACTTCTTGACTGCTTCTTTCACTGACTTGAAGTTGGGGTTCCTGTTGTCGGTCCTCTCCTCAACTTCTGCCACCGATAGTGGTGGAGGGGGGCGCACTTCGAGAGCAGCTGGCACACAAAGCCTCAGGTCATTGAAAGCTTCTAAGCGCCATGCTGCCACACCATCGCTTCTGCCAGAGCCAAGGTAGTAGACTTCTCCTTTGGAGTCCTTTGCCTTGTGGACTCTTTCCGCATCAAGTGGATAGCCGCTTGGGCCGCTTTGGCTCCAACCCTTCGAGTCTGAGGCTGAAAAGCTTTCATCTCCCTCTCGACACCGTCGGCCTTCAGGAAGGGTTTTCGGACAAGTTGGTCACAACATGGACACTAAATCAAAGGATCCCAAGATTTCTCACCGTTCGTTAGGCATTCTTGCATGTTCTTGCTAAACGGCACCAACAGTATTGGTGCCTTCACTTCTAAATTCTAAATCGTTGCCAACATCGATACCGTACAACAAGTGCAGCAACCAGCAGTGGGCATTCAAATCGCCCTTTAGACTCAGTAAGGGAATGGCGGCAAAGGACTGACGTCTTTGTTTCAGATGGTTTCAGGATTGCTTTGAGTTGGCATGCTGAGTTGATGAACATTTATGCGGGTCCCAGGTGCCTAGGGGAGCAAAGGCCGAGGGCGGCAGCTCCGCTGCGTGGCATCCTCCCAAACTGAGCATTCTAGCGCCAAAACGACTGTGTAACTCTCCATTGGAAGAACTCGAAACGTGTTGTTAACCAACACCTGATTCAACGAAGTTTTCGCTTTTGATTGTGACAGGTCTGACGGGTGTTAACCAAATTCCTGAAATTCATGACTGCTCATCACTGACTAAATTCACAGCGTCCGCACAGGCTCCCCGTTTCACAAAATCTTGGCTTTTGCAATCTACAGTAATGCCGTTTTTGGGCAGGAAAACTTCTGAATCTGATCTGTGTGTGGCCTATAGCTATATAGAAGCCGCATCCCATCACTGTATGAAAAAAACAAATTGCCCAAATAGCAATCTGGATCAATTTGGTGTATCTGATCCGTGCCCGCATGAAACCCAATTTGCTCAAGAAATGTAGGATTGCAACATCCAGTGTTGGAAACTGGCACACACGTATGGCCACAAAACCAAAAATAACGCCTGCACCGACCCCAAATAGTAATTAATAAATATTTATCAAATTTTATCAAAATATAGTTGTGGGCAGCACCATAGCAGCAGCACCCTGCGTCAGCACCAGTACCCAAGCTCCAAAGCACACACAGGCACCTCCTCCCATACTTGAAATAAAAACCCCAATAGCTTGGCGCAATCTGGAGAACAACAAAGCTCTGAATGATTAAGAATGGGCTTCTATAGTTCTCATGTGAGAGCGACAAAAGCAACAGTGCAACGGCGCCTAAGGAGCGCCAAACCCACATTGGCACCCTACCCTCTCTGGGCCCACTGTGCCCTACTTCGAGCCGCCAAGGCGATGGGCATCAGCCTTTGAGTGAGTAGTAGTAGTAGTAGTAGTACTACTACTACTACTACTAGTGTCCTTGCTCCTAGTAGCGATGCCAGGAGCCCTAGTAGCTTCTGGCAACAACAGGAAAATGAGACCATTTAGGTTCAAAGGAATGGGAGCGCAGCAGCACGATCCTTTTCTTGAAAGTTTGTCTTGATTTCGCACTCGGAAGGGTTGCGGAAGCACTAGCAGCTGCAAGACTGCGCATAGAAAAAGGACGAAACGGAAAGATGCCTCAGTGCCATGTGACCATCGACTATCTCAAAGGCGCCCCCCAAAAAAAACATATATAGGTAGTGCTCAAGCCAGACTGCAGCTCTAGGAGAGCACTCCCGCGGGTATAATTCACCTACAAGGACAGGGTCCTTTGAAGCTTGTTGCTTTAAAATCTCATGCACAAAACCGGGCTGACATGTGGAACGACTGCCAGCCAAGAACTGCACGATCTTCACAAAGAGAAGCACTTCCTTCCATAGCGAGCCTTTGACGGAATGTATTTTTGACTGAGTGCACTTCCAAGAAGATAACTTGTGACTCTGACGGAGACTCACCGAGGTGACGATGACGACTCACATGCTTCTCGCAAGAGAATGTCAAGGGCCGGCATCAAATTCCGTGACGAGCATAGCAAGATTCAAGGGTCTATCTACCTACCAAATCTGCAAAGCAAAAGCAGTCTAAGCAATCAAAATCCATGTCCAGACCCGGCCCTGACTCTCCACACTATATACAAGACGCATCAAGACAATGAATTCTGACATGCAAATGGGCAGTGGTCTCAAAGCATCCACATACCACAAACCTTGGTTGTCCAATCCTTGTGTCCTGACTTGTGACGGTTGACCCATTTTTGCCCTGTCCCGGAAGACCATGCTCAATGTCAAAGTGCCAGCAGGCTGGCTGCTGCGTTCTTTGCACAAAAATCCCCTCAAACCATCACTTCCTGGCTGCCAGTCTCAGCGCCACTTTCAGGACTTGATGCATCCGAACTTACCTGGGCAATGTTGGTAAGACTTCATGCTTCTGACGGCACGGGTGGTGACCCAAGCCCCATAACACAAAAACGCCCTCGCATCTCTCAACAAGTTTGTCAATTCACAATGTTGCGTTTAAAAACTGAGGAATGACCTACAGCCCCATGACGGGGGAAGTAAAAGGCGACATGAAATATATCATGAAATGATTGGAAGTGAATGGTGTAGTTGGCGAGTGTGGACGTGTTTGGGCATTCGTGTTCACATGTTGTCCTCGATGTGCTTGAATCATGACACTCTTAGGTTCTTACCTCGGGGACATGGTATGTCTCTACCACGCCTGACGACATTCTGTTTCAAAGTAGGTGATCCAACTCGTGAAGCGAGTGGAATACTCAAAGCTTCCGCTGCCCTAAAAGTTGTTTTAGGTATTATATAATTGATGGTAATTGTAGTTTACTGAAACAAGAAGCTACTAGTAACGTATAAATAGTTTGTCACCGTGAGTGAGCAACTGATTTCAGTCTGCATGTTAGACCTTGTGCGCCAGAACTCCGGTGTTGCGTTTGGAGCGCTGCTCCCAGACAGTGATCGACCAAAAGGGAGAATTCAAGGCGGCGTCTGTCGTAAGAAATCGAGCGGTCAAGCAGCGCTCTGCCAAATGCTAAGCACCAACTCCGAGCAAGCTGTCTGTCGCTGACTAGGATTCTCCGACATACTGATACTCTGATACTCTTACGATCTGTGTCAATGGCTGTTGAATGCTCTCGATACACGATCCCATCCTCAAAGACTGACACTGCCAAGGTGCCATAGCGGACGCAAGGTCGCTGGAAGAACTGATCATTTGAGGCGGCATTGGCAGATCCAGCAGTGAAACCTCCACTTTCACAGAGCTACCAATACTGTCGGCCGGAGAGACGGTATAGCCGGTATTGCTAAAATCTTCAGGAAATCAAAACTGGAATCAACAGGTTCAACTGTGAATCAACCCATATCCAAACCGGCACGTGGAGTTCGTCTTAGCCCGAAAGGCACCTGGCAAACAGGACATCTGGCAGAGCACCCTGTGAGCCACTTGCGAGCCTCAGTACTTCTGTGTGCTCTGACGGCTACGAGTTGAACATGTTGAAAAGCCCCCAACTCCCCCTTTTTGAGCTGAGGGATCTGCACATTCAAGATGAAAGGCGTGGCCACAAGGAAGCTGTGGCACCTTTTCATCGAGCTCCAGCAGGCAAACCTGAGGCTTAAGGCGGTGCACAAATCTAGGGGGCGATGTATATATATATATACAGTACACAGCTGGTCTTTTCATGATTTGCTAAAATGATTTGCGTGATGCAACCGCCCGGTGACTTCGGCCTGCTCCAATGAACTTAGTAAGTAGAGGATAGTAGTGGCACCTTTTACTCCCTGCCAGCCTGACAGAACTTGGAGCTCAAATCGCTGGCAGGCACAAGTGGCAAATCCTGCAGCTTGGGCTCTCCATTCAAGAATTCAGTGTCACTGGCCTAGTCTCAGCTCCGACTTGTCTACGGTTCTTGAGGTGTGTCTGTGTGTGTGTGTCTTGCAATCTTGTGACACCCTTTGCATAGGCATAGCTGAATAGCACTCAACAAAGAGAGAGAGAGAGGGAGGGAGGGAGGGGGAGGGGGAGCGCAAGTGCTCGCGTCGTGGTCACGTCCATTCAAGGTGTTTCATACCAAGCTCTGCTCTGCTGGCATTGTGCAGTTCCTGCAGGGAAGCTTCCGGGAGTGTGTTCTTCTTGGGGAGGCCCTCGTCCAGTAAGCAAAGCCTTGGTCAAGACGGCCTTGACAGTACAATCCTTAAGAAACATTGCTGAGGTGGGCACAGTTCATAATCTTCGGGAGTTACCTGACAGCACAAAATCAATAAGTATATTGTAATCCACTGTGTCAGTCGTGACGTGTGTAGAGTTGGATACGAGCATGCTACTTCATGTTTTCTGCAAAGAAAGGATGCCTCGCGATACTGAAGTTTCATAATTTCTCGGCGGATCTGACCAGCCTGCTCATCACTCCAAAATAGAAGTGCTCTATGATTCTTCATTCAATGTCATTCTCCAATCGCCAGTTCCAGGCTGAGCTTTGCGCTGGCATGTGCAGAGAACAGGTCACCCCCGAGAGTGAGCCTGATACTTGCAACATGAAGCAACGCGAACAAACGGTGAGGAAGATCAAGCCAGACCAAATGCCAGAGCCTCCATGACGACTGCCAAGCCTCAGGTCCAGAAGGTCTCCACATGTAGCTAGCAGCACTGCTAGCAACTACCGTAAAACCAAAGAAACTTGAAGAACCCTTGGTTTTATGTTCTTGAGTTTCTATATCGTGAGTTCTTAAGGGCCTACATCTTACAAACTCTCCTTGACCTTTTCTGAGGTTTCAGTTCTGCCCGAATCAAGCTCGGGTCACTTGTAGCAAAATGCTGACAAGAAGCTCCCCTCTTGTACCTGTGCGGCCAGGTGGGACTTGGGACAATGGTGAGGTATGGTGAGGTTGATGGACCAACACAGCTACACCTGCAAGCACCATTCAAAACACAACAAAACCCCACTACCTACCAATGAGCGCAATCTCTTTTGAGCCTTTTTGAGGCCTGGATTTTACGCCCACTTTTCTTGGGAGGTGTTAATGCAATGGTCAGTGGACGGTTCTTGACTGACATGCTGAACAACATACAGTAACCCGCTTTTAATAGCAATTCCAGGCGGTGGTTTTCACGTATGCAACTGGTGCTCGTGTATAATGTTGTATGGTTGTATGTTGTGCATGCCCCTTTCCTAAACAGCAGCCTTCTTGTGTATGGGGTCACACTGTTCCAAATGTATGTCTGTAGCGTAGTAACTTGTAGCCCCCTGGGGCGGGCAATGGTCAAAGTGTGCAAGTGCAAAGTGGTCTAGCGCGGATCTAGTGTACTCCTTCACCAGCGCCTTGGGCCACCAAACGGAAGAGCACACGTGGCCATACGCCGGCTTGGCTTGGCTTTGGAAAAGGCTGCTCTCTGGGTGATCCGTGAACTGCTCTCTACAAATTAGCGAGCCGTGAACTACCACGTACTCATGCTCCCCACGTAGGGACCCTATCTGCAGCAGCGGAGTAGAGCGCTAGCAGCCCTAGTGCAATGTTGCCTTTTGCTGGCGCAACGAGGTAGCATTTTCAATTTCAGCACCGTATATTGTATAATTGAAAGCGGTGGCCAAGGGATTTCTGAATCCATCAATACGTTCCTCACCAATACCAAAGACCTGGTATGACCTGGTAGTGTTTCGCCTCTCTGGCAAATAATATCTTGCTCCATGTCGTTTTGCCTTTGATTGAGTCAGCCAGCATATGTGGATACCAGGTGGCTAGCACATGTGGTTAACGGTGGAGACCTTGTTTGTCTCGAGTGTCCGAGACCAGCTTTAAGTTTTACATGGGCTTACTTACTGCGTTCTTTAAAACAATACTGCTTCATGATTCACAACGCCCACCATATCAAATGTCCAAAGCCTTCCGGTGTATGTTGCAAAAAAACTTTCCTTCGAAAAGAATCCCTTCACGAGAGTAGTCGACGAGTCGACTGTTTATTCAAGTCTTTACCTGAAGTATCTCTTAACATCTCTGAACAAGCGTCTAATTATGTCTACATGGAAAACCACGACCACCCTTGATTGTTCTCAACCATCTTTCTTCAACTTTTGCCGCTCTTTGAAGTGGAATGTCGACACCAAAAACAAATCCTTCCAAGTAGCTGGAAGCTACTAGGTAGAGGCCATCACTATTAGGTTGGAGGCCATCGCTACTTGTTACTACTGCTACGAGTAGTAACTAGATGTGTTCGCACTGCCATGTTGAGTTTGCCCTTTCATTTTGGAAGCACGCCTTCCAACTTCAAGCATGTTCCAGTGCCCGCTCGACGTTCAAACACTGGACGTTCTGGCTACCAAGAATGCGTATCTACATCAAACAAAAGAATCCAGACCACCATATCTTTCCTGGAAAGACTTGCCTTAGAACGAAAAAGACTGAAGGTAGGACATTTCCGCAAGGTGCTTTTGTGGGTTCTATCCCACAATTCTCTTTGGATGAATTGCAGGATCTCAGAGAACTCAGGGTGGCCGGTTGGTCGAAACAATTGTCGACATGGGACTCTCTTTAGTCCGCTTTGTGTTTACTGCCCTTCATTGCCCGTCTTTCTTGTGCAAATTTGCTGCTGATGTGCCCAGTGCGTCCGCAGTGGCGTTTCGCCCAATATCACTGGAGGATCGTGAGCGGGGAAGCGACGGAGATAGAACAGCTCCTTTATTCATTGTAAGAGTTCTATCCTTTATCCTGACCACAATCTCTCCCTCCCAAAAGAAACACTTTTTTCTTAAAACGTCCCATCCGAAATGAGTCTTTTCTTTTGCGAGGGCATTGCCCTGCGTAATCATAAGCCACTGTCTGTGCACTTTTGCATCACAAAATGCTGAGTTGGGTTGCCTGCAGTTTAAGAATACAAGCCGCAAGCCCATGAAATTTGATGCTGCAAACAAGTCCCTAATAATTTAGGAAAATGACCCGTCACTGGCATAGTAGCAAGAAGCTTCTAGTAACAAGGGCATCGCTACCAGGAGCAAGGACGCTACAAGAAGCCCAATGGCTGGACGGATGGCCTTGAGATTTGCTGCGGCGTTTGCGACTGCACCAGGCCTCGGTCTAGCCAAGCCTTCAGGCGGCATAGGATGCCACGAGAAGCGGAATTGGAAACATCCAAATTTTCAAAAATGGAATGGAAAACGCTGGATAAGGATGGAGAAGGCACAATATACCGCATAGAGGGTCAGTGCAAGGTTGGTAAGTATGCAGCTTGGTCATGGTCCTGGCAGCTCCAGCAATTTCAAAACAAGTGCACCACAAACTTCCAATACCGCTCCTCGATCTCCACATGACCTCTGTTCGAGATAGATCCTGTTGCCTGAGACAAAGCCAGCAAGAACCCGGCACAGCGAAGCCAACATGTTGCTCTACACTGGGCAAAAAGTTGCAAAACTACCGAGGACACAGCAGTTGGGCTATTGCTTTCTGGCTTGCTATCGCAGCCTCACCCCAACATGTCAGACAACGTCAAACAAAATGCTAAAAAGCGACAAAAAAGTGAGATTTGCTGATTTGCACGGCAATGTCCATAATGAGGATGATGCAGCCCATCTTCCGCGCAAGCTCCTGCCAGGACTGGGGTGGGTCGTTGAAAAGCCTCTGCTTGGTTGACTGGGCTTGCTTACATTCATTCAACTGTAGCTGATTCATGCTAATTCAAGTTGCAGAATCGAGATGGCTCCTCAAGAAGAACTACTGGGCAGCTTCGTAAAAAGAAGGGTTCACCAGTTCGGTTTCGGTAGGGAAAAGACCGACAGTGCCTGCGAATAACAACATGTTGAAGTTGTTGAGCCCAAGATGTGGTTCACCAGTGGTGCAGTTCAACAAATCCATTCTTCATTACCACTGGTGAACCCTTCGTTGAGCCCAAATGCCAGCATTAAGATTGGCACCGACTGACACAGCTGAGTGCTGACGGATGCTGCTCTCCACATGGCTTAACCTATGACTTGAACTCACACACTCATCTTGATTCGTGGGCAAGTCATGAGGGTCGGCAAGAGGACATCTTGATTTTCATGTGCACAATGCAAAGTCTGTTTGTCCTAACTCTCTACCGCCACGAAAATACTGCCTTTTGGCAGCTGGGGGAGGCATTACTCATGACAGCACTCATTACCATCTTCTCCATCTTTCCCTCTGCTGCGACTTCTACTTCGAGCCTCACTTCTGCCGTCGCAGCCACCAATGGGCTTCAGGCTGGGGCTTGTGCTGCCCATGTTGCCTTTGCCAACACCCATTCCGCCCATCCCGCCGCTGCACATGTTGCCTCCCATTGGAGGGCAACCTCCACAGCACCCTCCGCAACAACCCCCACATCCGCAGCCTGGGCAGCCACAACCACAGCCCCCACAGCCGGCGCAGCCGCAGCCGCAGCCACAGCCCCCGCAGCACCCGCCAGGGCAGCAGCCCCCACAAGGACAGCCGGAACAGCCTCCTGGGCAGCACCCACCAGGGCAGCAGCCTCCAGGACAACATCCTGCAGGACATCCTCCGCAACCAGGACATCCACACCCAGAGCAGCCTCCAGGACTGCCCGGACAGCCGGGACAACCTGAAGGGCAACCGCCGGGGCATCCACCCGGGCAATTGCCGCCGCAGTTGCCAGGGCAGTTTCCAGGACATCCGCAGCCTCCACCACACCCTCCACACCCAGAGCAGCCTGCTGGGCAGCCGCCAGGGCAGCCTGCAGGGCAACCGCCAGGGCAGCCTGCAGGGCAGCCGCCAGGGCAGCCGCCAGGGCAGCCGCCAGCACAGCCGCCAGCACAGCCCCCAGGGCAGCCACCAGAGCAGCCAGGGCACCCACCAGAGCAGTTGCCAGGACAACCGCAGCCACAGCCGCAACCGCACCCGCCGCAGCAACCGCAGCCGCCGCAGCCCCCACAACCACAGCCCCCACAACCGCTGCAGCCGCCGCAGCCTCCACAGCCGCAGCCGGTTTTGTCCATGCTACCGCCACAGCCCATGTTGCCCATGTTGCCCATCATGGCATTCTGCATCATGCTCGCAGCCATCATGCCTTCAAAGCTTGCAAACTTGCTATGACAGAATTGCTTTCGAAAGTCAGCACGCTCACTACACAGGTGTGCCACAGAGCCTTGCATCATGTTCTGCATCATCATCATGCCGGGCATCATGCCCATTCCACCGCCTTCCTCTTCGTCTCCAGTGCCTCCTCCTCCTCCGCCTCCTCCTCCACCTCCACCACCAGAGGCCTATCAACATGGCTAAAATGTTACCGCCTCCTTCATTTCAGAGGCTTGTTGCACTTGACTTACTATTGGAGTTGAATTGGAAAACACTTCCGACTCCAGCCTCTCTTCTTTGCCTGAACATTGCCGCCAGCGTCTCCGCTTCCTTCAAACAAGTTTCATGCGGCCACTCGAGCATACTCGAGCCACCACCTCTTTGCTCAAAGAGTTTAAAAAATTTACCCGTGCAAAAAACAGTACTTGCAGCCGGGAAGCTACTTGGCTTTGGAGCTTGATCTCGTCCCAGGACTGGTCTCTTTTTTCAATTACCTGGTCTTGTTGGAGGGAGGGGTTCTGCCATGGGCCGTAGACTACCCAGCTACTGGCTTGCTGTTACTAACACGCACTGTGAAGAACCGGCAAAAACCTGACAGTGACGCACCTTGCATTCTTCTATGAAGGCGTCAATTAACCTCTTGTGCTTCTCCTTGCCAATCACATTGCCATCGATGTCGACTTTCAAAACATCCTTCAGCTCTATGAAGGACTCGCGGTCCTGGTCGGATGACTGCCGTCAACCGCGCATATTGCGATGCTTCTGTATCCACATGCCCCCCAAAAAAAAAACACCTCGCCTGCCCTCCAATTCTTTTATCAACTATTTTTCCTTCATAGTGGCCCGTGTCATTCTCATCTATCTCCTGCTTGATGGGTACTCTGTACCTCAAGCGAGAGCTGACACATTGGTAATTCTTCAAAACCACTTAGTATGTCTGTGCGCTCTTCCATTCCACCTTCAGCAACTAGGCATCGGACGAGACAGCAACCCAGCTCCCCAATTTGATGCCTTTGGTCATCAGCCTCCGCTGGCCTTTCCAATCGTGAAAACATCTCGTTCCTCAAGGGCGGGGGACCCAGGCCTTTGCCGATGACTCGGGTGGCCCCAGCACAGCCACCGCATGGCCCTGACCTGATTTCATTGTTTTGTCATCGTTGCTTCCTTTATCTGTTCTTTATTGTTTTATCTTTTCTTCCTTAGTCCTATTTTACAGTTGGCTGAGACAATGGCATCGGCCGTGGCTGTCAGGGCCCCCTGAAGCGGACCACGAGCACTTGCAATGCACTTGAACTGGGGAAACTATATCAATCAATTGTCTGCGTCCAATTTTATGTCCATACAGCATTTACGGAATTCAACGTTCTGATTGATCCGCTCACCCTGCATCACATGTAGTTCTCAGTGTTCAAGCGTTGCATAGTGTTACCAAGGCAGGTTGGCCGTGACGTGATCATGATGTGAATACGTGGTGATACGTGGTGCCCATGTTCTCTATACAGCCGCTGCATGACCAAATGATCTATCTAAACGGGACCTGTGGCCCCCCACCTTCTGCCTTGGCCTGTGCCAGCCTCACCTCAGAGCTTGACATAGCAAAGGACGTGTGCACAAGCCCAGGATTGACAAACATGAAGATACAAACAAACGAGAGACCTTACAACCCTGAAGTTCTGAAGCTGAAAAGTTCAGAAGACTCTGGACTTAGCGGACTCCTGCCTGCAAGTTCTTTGCTTAGACAAGGGCCGGCAGGGGCAGCTGGTATGCCGTGTCCAGACTCATCTGCATCGAGCCAAAGCAGCTGCGGGAGGATTGAGAACGTTGGACGGCTAAAGCAGCTGCTCGTCATGAAACTCGCTCCTTCGAATCACCAAAAACATGTTTGAAACAGCCGGCAGTTGTATTTTTTCTTTCAAGTGTTTGCTGTCGCTTTAGCCGCTTTAGCCGTCTCACATGGGTTGAAGTGCTCGAGAGGTTGCGTGCAAAGTAAGATGCGCCAGGGGGGGTGTCATCCTGGCCACAAAACATCCACAACAGTTCTTTCTTGGTTGTGGGATGTTGTAGGTTTCAGGTCCTGCGATCTGCCTCTCTCGCTCTCTCTTTCTCGCTCCGTCTCGCTCATCTTGATTCTTCTGTTGCAAGAATTCCGCTTGTTTTGTGCTTCTCTATTCCTTCTCCACTCTTGATCTTCCTTAAAGGGCCATATATATTTATATAAATTGGGAGAAATTGAAGCGCTTAAATATTTCACGGAAGGGTTTGCAACAGTGGCAAGAATATGCAAGAAGTGGTTCTTCAACAACTCTGACCTCCCGTTGTAGTGGCCAAAGCACTGGTTCTCAGCCATCGTAGCGTGAACAGCATGACATGCCAACCAAAACAGAAAACCACCTTGCCCAACTGTTGCGCGGCCAAAAATGGGTGATGAAAGGGTCACTTTCGGACACGTGGAGGACTCGTCCTTGGGCTATACAAAGGCACCGATTGCTCTGAAGTCCGACGGTGTTGAATCAGTTGGCTCGCTTCAGAAGGCCAATGTCATTGGGCCACCACATGGCCGATGGCTCCTGTTAGAATCAAATGGGTGCGGCAAACCAAGGCTCTCGACGTCACCAATGATCATCTGGCTGCTCCCTCGGCAGTCTCTTGGAGCGAAGCAACTGGCACGACTGTTCTGTTCTGAGACGAAAAAAGGGCCAAGCAACTGGCATGTTTCGCTTGGCTCTTACTTTCTGAAAGGTCGCTTATAGCCATGCCTCCGGGAATGGACCTTGAACGCCCGTTCAAGCCTTGGGCCTTTGTTATTTTGTTGTTTGGTGCATTTTTGGTCCCTCGATTTCCCTTGGTTGTTTCGCCGCACTCCGAAGCGCGGGCCGGCAAGAGCTCGGGCGGCAGGACATGTTTTGATGTATTGTTGGACTTTCTGATGGTAGAGAACCTACTAGCGATGGCCTCCAACCTAGTAGCGTTATTGTTTGGACTTTCTGATGGAACCTTTTGCGAATCTGCAGCACTGCTCTCTATTTTCCTCGGCCACTCCGCTCAAACCAGAATCATAGAGCCCAACACGGGAAGCACCTTCCGATAGAAACCCGTGACAAGAGATGACTAGCGAAAAAAAAAAAAAAAAAAAAAAAAAAAATATATATATATATCAAATAAAACATATATATCGTAACCTTCAAGAACAAATTGCCTGAGGAGACATATGAGAATCATGAAGATATGATGACAATTTACCAGTGTTCCAAAATGTGTTCTCGCCTTACCAGACGGCCCTCTGGCTGGTTCAATTCCAGGATTGCGTCCAGCGCACCACCTTGGCCAAACTGTATCCCACTTGCACATCTTAACTCCAACTATAAAAAAGGACTTATGGTAATGCTGAGGCTGTTATGAATATTTGTGGAGCACGGTGATTTCCTCCCATACACGTCAAACAACTCATCAAACATTATCATTCAACCTTGCCTGCTTCCGAACCAATGCCCTGCGACAACCCATTGCGCAATGTAGTCATCTTTGAGAACAGGGGTCCGGGCGTGATGTCCCACATCCAGTTTTCATCGATGTCGCTCGTTGAAGATATCCGTGCCAAAGCAGCCGCAAGCTGCGCAGCGTAAAAGCAAGGTGTATCTTGGATCCATTTCGGCGCATTTGGGACAACTATGTTCAAACGAGCACCTCCGTGTCATCCAAATCCTGACCTGAAAGCTCTAAGAGTGCATGTCTCACAATCCATCCAACACGGGAGCAAAGAAAACAAGGCCCGGGACAATCATTAAAAATATCATTAAACTATATTAACATGACATAGCTTTTGCGGCCCCTGAGCTTTGAGCCGTATCGGAGCTTGATCGCATCCCGCACTCTTTCGAGCTCCTTGGGTATGAGATCCATGACATCCTGAAGCCAGGAGTGGCAAGGACGCTATTAGGTGGAGGCCTTCGCAAATAGGTTGGAGGCCATCGCTACTAGGAACAAGACTAGGAGCAAGGACACTACTAGTAGCTCCTCTCATTACTACTAGTAACAAGAAGCTACTAGTAACAAGGTATCGTATTGTCAAGCCAAAGCACGACACACTGTGATGGAGTCACACCAGTTTGCCGTCGATTATGTACATCAAAGCTTAGCAGCTAAGGCTAAAACTCCTAGACTTCAACTTAATTAGAAGGGAGTTGCGCTGTTCACCCCCATGTGGCTTGCTCTGTGCAAATAAGCCTGGGGGCCTGATCCTTTTCACCCATATCAATCTCTCTAAAACTCAACTCTTCAACTTCCAAAATTCTTTGGTCTAGGTTTCAATTGTTCAAAGGGTTCCAGATTGCATGAGATGGTCCGCGCCTTTCGCTGCAGGGAAGGGTCAGCGCACACAGCAGAGACCTGGGGGAATGAGCATGCGGGTGAGAAATGGGTTGGCTCAGTAATTTACAGCTTTCCATGGCCTCCCAAAGAAGAACAGACAAACGCTGCTGCTGGAAGCATCCCGGATGAGTCTGAGCCACCTTCGCAAAGCAGAACAAACACCACTACAAGTATCACCAAACCGTCAAATGGTCTAATGGAAACGTGCACTCCAGGTTCTAAGGCCATCGCTGCCTCAAGAATGCGATTCACGACACGTTTCTGCGCCTTGGGAGAAATTCTTTTCGCAGGCTCAGGCCACCTACCATCAGATCTCAAACCTTATTGCTGGCCTCGACATCTTTTCGGAGCCGCAGCAATGTCAGAAGCTCGCCGTATTGGCCCTGTAGCTTTGTGGCACAGCTTGGCACACAAGCCGGGAAACAACCGGCTGTGTGAGCACCCAGCCAAGTGGTTTGCAATGAGCCAGTGGCGATGCTGATCAGGCATCTCCAACTCATCAACCTTCCAGCGTCCAAAAGGCTGGATTCAAATCTGGGGAAAGCTGGGGTGCGCTAGGCAGCATGCTGTGGGCTAAGCATGGAAGCATGTGCTTGGCATGCCTTTTGTTCGAAAGTGATGACAGCATCAAGGAGATCATCCACCAAATCCGCTTTCACATCAACAAGCCTTGGGTGGCTGCCGGCTGGTTTGCCCGTGCACCGCCCATTGCATGTCCCACAGTGGAAAACAACGAATGCCCTTGTTCGATTCAGCTCCTGAAGCCACCGAATCCTATGACCACTAATCCTACATGATCCGACTGTATTCGTCACTGGCGTCCTTGCTACTAGTAGCGATGCCCGGGTGGCGATGCCAGGAGCTACTATATAGTCGTAGCTTCTAGTTCCTAAATCTATATACACTATGTACACTATGGGGAGAAAGGACAACTGATTCAGTTGATCGTCATTGCTTTCACGACCGTCATTCCAATATGTTTGCATGAAAGCGTTCTGACTATTTTAAAGAATATATATATATATATATACTGAGGCCGTAGCTCGGGTTCGTTCCGTTCAGGAAAATACTTCCTCAACTCTTCAATGTCGGCATCGGTTGGCGCGTCCTTGAGATTCTTGAAGCGGTCGGCCAAGCCCAAAAGCCCTCCAAGCAGGACAAATGGCTGATGTTCTGATGATGCTGACAACTTTTTACATATGTTTAATGTTTACTATGTTCCTCGATGACTGAAGACATCTAACTCATCCGAAGACTGGCCAACAGATGGCTCCTGACTCGAACTCCTTGTTGAGTTGCTCGTTGTCCTTAGGTGCTTCCGGATGCTTCCGGTGCTTCTGGAGTCCGGCAGGATCAATCTGGTCGACACAAGCATCAAGGCTAAGATGGCAGCTCGGATCTTATCGTACTGTTTCGCCAAGTCCTCTTCAACCGTATTTGCGCCGTGATGCGACGGAGAGATGATTAGAAGAGGCACAATTTCTCTCCTGTTTGCGCTCTTCCAGCTTGAGATCCAATGTTTGGAGCACTGCTTGGGTTCGGCTTCTCTGTTTGTCGAACCTTCCCGTTTACAAAACAAATCGACCTGCTGCAGCAACACACATGCAACTCATGTTGCAGAGTGTTCTACAGTGCGAGAAGCAACAACGACCGTAAGAGTACGGGGCCTGAATTCAAGATCCGCTGATGCTATTTCCTTGAAAAGCAGTGTCACAGGCACAAATTTGGGCAAAGGATTTGTTGGCTCTCTCTTAGCCTTGCCCGTTTCTATACACTGCACAACCTATGCCATGTCAAGTTCACATCATCGGTCTTTATAACTGACTACAGCGCATCTGGGTGCCTAGCAGCCCGTTTGTCAAAGGAGGCTTCCTTCTCACATCGGGGACACCTGGCGGTGGTGTGGTGGCAAAGTCATACTCAAGTGACTCTCGAACACATAGCTTCACAGAAGCTCCACTCCGAATAACCATAACTCCGAAAAGGAATTTGGCGAGCACCTGCACCAAAACCCAGCAGTGGTAAATTTCTCCTGCCGCATCTCCAAGGGGAACCAAATCTCGTGAAATGCAAACGTCACCTGCGCAGGGATGTGGAAGGGTTGCCAGAAAGAAGTTGTGATCAGGTAAACTCTTGGTTGGTGCAAGCCCACCCTAGAAGGATAAGGGCACGCCTGCTCAACAAAGCCTGAACATCGTGCAGCTGAATGCAGTAATTACCCCCAAATGTTTATGAGCCAGTAGAAAACTGCGCACCGACAGATTTTGTGTGTCTCGGATGTGATGCAAGCCTGCTCTCACAGTCTCTCACATCAACCGAAAAAATTTTACATCATTTACGGATGGCACAAGGGCCTGCCCCCTGTGACTTCAAATCTTTGTGCCGTGTTCAAGCCAATTGACATGTCCTGACTTTTGCACTACCCTTTCAAATCTAGATGAATCTAGACTCTCCTGGCTGTGCGGGCCTCGTCGCCTGCTTTGAGAGGCCTAGCTGCTCGGGCCATCAGGACGTCACCCCAGATCGTGTAGGTAGCTGGCACAAAGGACAACTGCACCCTTCAAAGATTAAGGCCGCAAACCACAAAAAACACATCAATCCATGCTTCATTCTTATCAAACTCATTTCCAACTCAGCCTGAGGGTGTGCAACTATGCCTTGCCAAGGCAGGTAGCCTCAAACAATTGAAGACTGGAAGAATTATGTACATTGACATGACATCCCACTACATGTGCGTAATTACTACAAAGCATTCAATATGAAACGATACTGCACCGGGTGTAGTCCTTGCAGAAGGAAATCATGAATGCTGAAAGCGTGATTTACTGTATAGTACACGTCAAACATTTGCTAATCATGTGAGACTTGCCCTGGTGGGTACGCGAGCAGTGACCGATCCTCCATGTTCTGGCGAAACCTATCCAGGCAATAGGCTGTATCAAGTGAACAGTCACAAGAAACGATGTAACTATAGCTTAATTACTCGACAACTGTTTGCTGGTTGTTGAAACCCCTCCCTCTCTCCCATCCATTCATGTGGTTATTGCTCTAAACGAGCATCTAGTGTTAAAAAACAATCCAGCTTAAAGCAGGAACTTGTCAACAACTACATGTCCGCTTTCCTGAGAACTCTCTCAGCGTAGTGGCCTCAGCCTTTAGTCCAAAACTGCAATGATACCTCGTGTGGCATTATCTACACACCAAGCAACTGCAGATTCAGGTTTTTCCTGAATGCAAGCTCTTGCCTTTCCATTCAACTTGTTCCCAGACCTTGTGATACTACTTAACTACTTCCTGACACCCTGGCTGCAGGATGCAGGCCCTCTGTACAAAAACGAGCAACGTCCAAATTCCACTGAACTTCTTACCAGTGCGGATCTGGGAGCGCAAGACAAGCTTCTCACAGTCCTGTCATGCCACCGTCGTCAAATCTTGCAGCACAGCGCCACACTAACAGTGTAACAGTGTAACAAGAATCAATAACTCAACGTTAAGCTGAGAACCTGTCCTTGAATTGCCGTGCCATATCATCATTGTCTGTGCTCCAGGGTGATTCTCGCACGACCTGCTCAACACACGAACAATCACTTGACGAGAGAGGCCCCACTGCAGCAATTTGAAGAATCAAAGAATGCGTTCTCTACTAGGGGGAGGCCAGCGCTAGGGTGCTAGTAGGTGGAGGTCATTGCTTCTAGGCTCCATGCTTATTTATAGTGGAAAATGTAGAAAAACAAAGGCTCGGACCTTAGGGTCTCGAAGAGCTTCCATCACCTCTTCACTGTCTGAGTCATCCATGTCACTCTCGTCGAGCAAGATGTCCAGTAATTTTGCTTGTCTTGGCGACCTGGCAACTTGTCTTCAACATGGCAACGGAGTATAAGGCAATCGAAAAGGACTCTCCCAAACGCCGTTTCAGAAACACTCACCTTCAGAAGACTCAGGCTGCGGCAATGTTGCTGCTGTCACCAAAGAGAACTTTAGGCGCGCAATGTCCTCGGCCTGACGGTCACAGTCACAACGAAGGGCGTGGACAAATTGGAACCTCAACGCATCGTTAGCAGTTTCAATGGTGGGCTTTTGAAGGCCACTGCCGACGGCCGCTAAACCCTCTCACCCTTCCGTTCCACCACAGCCGCGCCCGGTCCAAGGTGGCGAAGGCCAAGGCATTCTGGACAAATAAGGGGCCCCCAGCCTTGTGCAATGCCATGTGCAAAGCATCACACAATCAGGCACCAACTCCCACACCCACACCCATCCAAACTTTGAAAGCCACACTTTGTGATTACTGCCCAGGTACTCAGGTACTTACAGGATCCTTGGCATGAAATCTTGAATGCAGAGTGTTACTAAATGGTAATCGAAGCAGCTCGCTACTAGGTCATACAGTCATATACAATGGCCATAATTATGTGGCGGAAGAGCGCAAACAACTCCCAACTGGCCTCAACGTCTCTGGTTGCGAGCAGTTTTCTGGGATGAGAGGAGCCTCCTCCAAGCTCTTCTGGCTCCGCATTCGCCACACGAACAGGGCCAATGGAGTCTGCAAAGTTTGGGAGGAAGAAATGTGGCGGCCTGCCATTGGCATCTTGAATATAGACACTCAAAACATGCATCAATCACATCCCTATAATGACTGAGGAGATCACCTAGCTCCTGTGAGGACCGTTGCAGGCCGAGCGCTAAGGTTGCAGGGCTCGTGAGCCTTCAGCTTGGCATCATCACTGTTAGAACGGCATGACGTTGCGAAACTCAAACATGTGTCATTTTCATCCCCCGTACATGTTCCCTTGGGTGTCTTACATTACATTTCATAGACAAATTGTGTCTATAGAATGAGTTGCCTGGGATAAGTTGTCTATAAAATGACAAGCCTTGCATGTATTTATATAAAATGATTACCAGCATGTGAAAACAAATATAAAACATATCACAATCAAAAAACAATCTCTATAAGATGAAGTTCTACCCCTTGACATCTTGATCTTAACAACATACAACAATATGATCCCCCTGCTCGCTCTATAGAATGCCCTTCCTGCATCCTTGCACACAATCCCATCTGAAGTACATACTTGCTCAAGCAGCCCTCTATAAAATGATGTCCTGTGATGTTCAAATATATTCTGTAAATCTGAAACCACATATTCTATATAAAATGGGTGTCCAAAACCCATTTCATAGAGGAAAGTGATTGTCATTTCATAGAGCCTCATGTACGGGGGATTCATTTTCATAACTACTTCCCAAGCAACCTAGCTTTGAATCTGAGGAGATCTGTCAATTTAAGATTCTTGTTTTTTACCTACACCGACTCCTCGTCAACCATTCTTGGAAAAGCGGAGGCAAGTCCATAGTTTGGAAATGTCAGCGTGGACAACTTCAGGAGGGATCTGTTTGCCCAAACAGCTGAAATATATATATATATATTCATAAGTCTTGTGACACACATGAGCCAAAACCGGCCAGATTGCAGGGGTGAAAACACACATGAATCCTGTTCCTGTTTTCCGGCTTTGCTTGGCTACCTCTCGCTTTTCACGGCTTTTCTGTAGCAGGCGTTTCTTGCAAGCAAAATGATCAGTCGCATTGAACGGATCTTTAGCCCTCGCCCACGAGGCCTCTGCCATAGCATCTTCCGCTTTGCGATGCTCCAGCAACTCATCGCATCGCCACACACATTCTTGCAACTCAACAGATACATCTCGGATCCCTTCTCCTGCCAAACGCACAAAGCCAAACACGGCCAAAAACACTTCACCACAGTACAACGAATGCACACTCTTCAACGCCATGGACCATCCTTCCATTTTGTTGACCTCTTTGTAGAGCTGGGCAAAGCGAACGCGAGCTTCTTTGACTTGCGTTGCTTCCTGGAGTTGTGCAATCTTGTAGCCATAAGCTGACTAGGCGGCCAGGGTCTAGAGTGCTCGTGGATACTATATGATACTATCAAGGCCTTCCAAGATTCACAACTCACTCTGTGCCTGGCTGCCCGCTTGCGCAAAGGCTTCTGCGCAGCGCGGGTTCAAGGACTGAGGCTCAAAGGCAATCCAACGCCGGGCAGCTTCCAGGGCAGAATCCCACAACCTCACGTTGCCAGTGGAGCGGTGGTCCGCGGAAACAACCACCATTTATGAAAGCTCTCATCTTACTAGCGAGGGCCTCCAACCTACTAGCGATGGCCTCCACCGTACCCTGAGATAGATAGAGCTTTACAATACCCAAAATGACACCTGATATTGGGCTGAGACCTGAGCTTGAGCCTCAAACGTCCCAACGTTCGTATTCTCCAAACTTCCGCGTCATGTGGCTTGACAGCCAGCAAATCCGTACCTGGTGCTCAATGAGTTCATGCAGCAGGCAATCGGTCATATGCCAGCAGATTCATGACTGACATGATGCTTGAGAGGTGTTTGCATGCACCATCATGCAGCCAAGAAGCATGATTTTTCTATCAACTGAATCTCCCCGCGGTCGTAGGTCTCCATCATGAGTGTCTTATCTGCACGGTATTTCTTCTCAGGATCATCCTTCATGGTCCGCTCTTTGACTTCGATCACCTTCAAAGTCCTGAATTGAAAGATCAAAGTGGACATGGGAGACTTCTTTAGCGAAAGCGACTTAGCTTGGCTTCAGTCTGGCCACGTTCCAAACCTGAGACGGGCACGATGGATCATAGTCTTCGCCTTGCTCTTCCAGCCATTCTCGGGCAAAACGCTGCAGTTCCCTTGGTGCCACTTTCGAAATGAGGTTCTCTGAAGCATGTAAGACCATGGTCCTGTTAACATCAGTTTTGTCGTGGATTAATGTTCCACAGCCAGGCGGTTGCAGGTGTCTGACGCAGTATGACACAGTTGAATGGGAGCACCCACAAAAGAAAGGGAGACGTGCTGGACCTGTCCTGGCATAACTTCGCAGGTGTGAATGGTAAAGGTAGGCCCCCCCAACCCCAGTGGCCCTCGAATAGGCAAACACTAAAACCGTGCCGCACGCCACATGCGGCCGAACTCATGACCAACTGCTTGCGTGTTGCTCTTCTTCCTCCTCAGACCGGCCGCTTTTGAGGATCACCTCCTTATCAGGCGACACCTCCATGATCTTGCGGACAAGCTGGCAAGGCAGTTCAAGCTTTTCAGTGTTTCACAAGGAAAGGCAAAACTTGGCGAGACCACTTCATCATCTTCTGCATGGCAGGCCACCCGGACCTGCCAAGACTTGAGGGAGTCAGGAGGGCAAGTTGTATTGTGAAAGGGATGGCCTTCCGCACTGACGATGCTTTGTGGGTGCCTGGAACGGAGACATTAAATGTGGTCCAACCGAACGGTACTGTCATCATCTGTCATCAGTGGGCACTATTTTACAGGAAGTTAGTATCGGGTTCTTCAAAAAGACAGCCATCGCAAGAGCTGTTCCACGTCACGGTTCCAACCCTATTTACCCCCAACTTCAATGTTGTCGCATGAAGTGCGGTCTTGAGCTTTCAGGAGAAAAACTGCCATTCATGTCAGCACATGTGAGAAGTCCAATCGGCAACACTGAAATTGGGTGTAGAGGGGGCTCAAGAAATCTTGTGACCCTTCACTAAGTGGCTGTTTTGGTATGTTGGGATCCATGTGAGAAGTATCGGATTCATATGTTTCATTGAGCAGCATATGTACTCTGTACTGTACTTGCATTTTGCCGCTACCCTATGCCATTCTCAATGATGCGCAAGGTATACAATTAATATACACATTCATAGCATAAATGATCATCATAAATGTGTGCGTCTTAAGGAAAGGCCAGCCAAATGATTGAATCCTCAAGCCTCCGAAACGCCTGCTGCGATGTCTTTGTCGCGGCCTTCGACCATGAAGCAAACAAACGATTGCTCAGCTACCCTGAAGACCTTTTCCTCCTTTGAAGCCGTTGAACATCCATGGTACAACAAGATCATTCAAGTGTCAGTGCCCAAGTCATTGCTGACTGTACATGCTACAGACTTGCAGTATCTATCACAAGCCTCGTATGGCAAATGACAGCTGCACTGGCCGAAAGGATCAAACTTTGCTCCTGCCCCAAGTTCTTCACACATTCTCCGGCTGGCATGTTTTACATGTAAAATCCCTGTAAATTCGTGTGTCTTTGGGGAAACCTGGCCAGCTGAACTCTCCAATCCTGGATGAGGGAGGTCGATGGGGTGAAGTCCACTGGGGGCGACCTTTGCAAGGTATATTGCAACCGATTCCGCAAACAACATTCTGTCACGTCTGAGCACTCCTAATAGACCTAAGCATTACAAAAAGCAGCCTGCAACTTCCAGTTGCACATGCCCCGCTTGGTCTCAAAGACATAGGGCTCCATGTCCGCCAAAGGATCCTTTCCTGCACTCCCGACATGCTGCATTGAGCCATGTTCTGCGGGCAAAGTCAGTGGAGCAGAAGTTGTGTTGCACCAAACGTGCACAGTGCCACAGCGTGGCAACAAAACTCACAACATCGTGCTGATTGCTGAGCACTATTTTATCCTAATGTTCTCACTTCACGAGATCAGAACGGAACCTTGTTCGCTAAGCGACTACACTACACCATGCTACACCTAATGCACCATACTGCCTTCATTCTGGGTGTGCCACGGCACTACTCGAAAAGGACCACATCCTTTGAGACGCACTCTTCTAGTCGCCGCTGTGATTCTGACTTCTCCATTTGGCCCTTCCCAGCAGGAAAAGGAACATGAATCCGGAGGATGCAATTCTCTTCTTGTGGATTCAGGGAGCTGTTCGCATCAGCCATGGAAGAAAGCATAGCGTTGCTTCCCTTTTTCTTCTGAGTTGACAACCTGCCACATAGGTTGGGACCCCACTCTGCATCTCCCACGTCACTTGTCCCACTAACTTTCGTGAGCTGCCTCTCAAAGAGCTCCGCAAACCGCTGGCAGGTGTTCCATCGACTCTCATGGCGGCCATTAAAAAAACCAAAGCTCGGGGGCTCAATTGCCCCCGATGCAATTTCACGAAGCTCTTGCTCATTCATCATAACGATTCTTATTCGCAGCATTCCCACATCGTTTTTCCCCACGGGCTTCAGTGGGGTGATGAACCATCTCCCAGAAGCCTCTGTCTGAGCACAGGTGAGTGTGAACACATACCATGCTGACTGGTAGTATGACTCCACACGTCTTGCTTCGTTGAAGAAGACATGGTAGGGGGCGAAAAGGGAGCTGATATGATTCGTGCAGGTCGTGAGCACGTGCCACTTGTCCTCCTGGGACATCTGGGTCACTAGGAAGGGCTCATTCTGCGAGACCGCCGTCTCTGCAGACTCTAGCACATTGGCCAACACAAATTCGTTGCGAAAGACTTCGGCAATGGGCTTCACGAACAGCGTCCGCTTCTCCACGCGGCCCAACGACTTCAGGTGCTCCGTTGTCAGGAGCACTGCCTGCGTTGTTGCTTGAGTCTGAACATTCATTCCAAACGTCTCTCAGCAATGTTCAAAAAATGAACAATTATGCAGAATCATACGAGCATTATGAACATCATAGTCATAGTCTGTGAAACTTAATTGCTTGACTATCTGCATCCTACCCAGCACACTGCACCTGAATGGCAGGTCTGCAACATTCAAATGCGGGCACCACAGTGGGTGAAGCGTGTCTGCCCTTACTCATGGCTATTTGGCTATTTGGCTTGGACTGAAAAACCCTCCAGTGCGGTCACAGCATGATACAAATCTGCCTGAACCACGCTGAGGTCCACATGCCTCCGCCATAAAGATTCGGCCTGCTGCCGCCGGAATCGCTGGATCAGGTCCTGCCACCCAACCAGATCATGACTCTTGGAGGGCCCGTTCAGAGTGGCAGTGGCAAGATGAGGTGGAGCAACCCTTGTCCTGGAGGTACCGAATCAGAACAGCTGCAGCTGCCCCAGCGAACATCGCCCACATGGTGTTGGTCTTTAGACTTCTGAACCTCGCACACACCCAAGGAAAATTACAGGCTTACAGGAGAGTCTCCACAAGTTCCATTGTAATGGCAAAATGCGCGTATAATTAGATCATATTCTCATAGCGTACAAGGAATGCTTGATTGGATCCACCATTGGATGTCTCCAGCGCAGTGTCCAAGGCGCAAAGACGCCCAAAAGGACGAGAGCGTACCACGTGGATTTTTCGCCACCGCTGCGGAAGCAGCCATGCCTGGCCTTCACACATTCAATGTCACTCTGTCCATGTGTCCCATCTGTTCCATTATGTTCCATCGGCTTTGACTGAGGTCTGCGCGATAGGAGCCCGTGCGGCAACTGCTTTCTGTTGCAAAAGGCTTGAGAAAACATGGGCCACCAGCGCGCTTCAAGAGGGAGCAAGTGACGTGTCAAGTATAGAAACATCAACACCTATCAATACTTGATTGTGATAGGATGACACATAGACTGTGACTAGGACCTACTCTACCATAAAGGAATACATAGTAGGATGACTTTGTTTTTCTGGTAAAGGGGAGGTGCATCATGGTGCATCCAAGACCTGAGGCCTGGCCAGGCCTTAAAACACAGTATGTCTGCTGCTGTGTTCAAGAGTGTCCAGTTTACAATCTCTTCACTTCCTTTTCCAAGCAATTGGGTCGCGAAAATTCCAGCCAGAGTTTCGGCCTCAAAGGAGCCCAGTAACACCAATACAACTGAGCAAGAACTTGAACAAGAATGGCACATACTGCGCAATAGTACCGGTCATGAGCTTTGCAGCTTTGAGCCACTGGCCAAAAGCAAGCGACGAAAATCATTTCCCTTGCCACGGTTCCAAATCGATGCGCTGAAAGAGCGGCTTTGGCTTTGGTCCAACCTGCTGTGTGACAGTGCATAAACTGAAACAACATTAACTGCAGAGCTCAGCCACTGAGCCGCCAGCCAAACCAGGCATCCTGAGGTGTGAATCGCACCAATAACAAAACAGAATTGGCATCGAGTATTGAATGTGTCAATCCAAGGGGCACATCCCAACTCCATTTAGTGCGTTCCCAGGACAGCTGACCTGTGTGCGACCAAATTGACAAAACACTCTCCGTGCAAGTCAGGCCTTCAGGCTCAAGGCCGAATTCAGCAAAAATGTTTGCGCTAAGTCCAGGTGTAACTGGAGAAAGTAGCACAGCGCATATTCGAACGCCTGTTCAGCAAATGCACGCACCGTCGGATGACAACCAAAAAAGTCATACCAAGGCTTTATTGGATCAAGAACGCATCCAAAAGCTGAAAGAACAGCTTCTTGCAACTGTGCACCTTCAGCCATCACTAGGAGTTCGCGTATTGCCAAGTTCTTGTCCTCAGCACTTGTGGTTTTCTTCAACTTGGCCCACGGCTCCACCTGGCAGGAGCAAGGACGCTACTAGGGGCTCCTGGCATCGCTACTAGGAGCAAGGACGCTACTAGGGGCTCCTGGCTTTACTACTAGGAACAAGAACGCTACTGGGAGCAAAGGGCATCGTTACCAGGAGCAAGGAGAGGTTTGGCAGGACTGGAGGGCGCACACCTCGTTCATCCTCACATTGGCTACAGAGGCAATTTCCAGTGCTGTTGCCACAGCCTGCAGGCGGGGGTGTGCCCGTCTTACAGTAGTCTGCAATTTTTTTGAATTATATTCTTCTGAACGACTTGGGCTTCTACTACTCGCCTCGACAATAACCGTCCCAATCCATCCAACCATGGTTAATCCTAGAACTTGCATGAACTTGCACCATTGCTGCCACGGAAATCCAGCTTGTTCATCAGTACTAGGGCCAAAAAGTGTTCGGTACTGAAACGGGTTCACTTGCTGCAAAGGGCAGCTCTTGTCAAGTGCAACCTTACACAATCAAGCGGGCTATTTCCATTAAACTAAAAGTTATTAAACGGCTACGTCCTTGGTGCTCCTCGACCTGATGGCTTCAAGCTTCGAGTGCTGCTTCCCAGATGAATAAGAATGGCTTCAGTTAATACGGATGGCCCGCCTCCGACGTAATAGCGATGGCATCCAACCTAATTGTGATGGCATCCACCTAATAGCGATGGCCTCAACCTAATAGGGATGGCATCCAACCTATAGTGATGGCATCCACCTAACAATTTAATAGCGATGGCCTCAACATATTGCGATGGCCTCCAACCTAATAAGCACGTTTTGCTGTCATACTTTACTCCACTTTCACACCGCTTCAGTGCATCTTGCGGGCTGACTCCTATCTGGTCGTCCTGCTTATGTTCAGGTATGTTCAGGTCCATGATCCAGCGACTACTGAAATCGCTTGAGCGATCTTAGTCAAAAGTCACCAGCACGAGCACTCCTTCAAACATCTTCAAACAATAAGTTATGAATGCCAAGCACCTATGAACTCTAAGCCTGGCCCAAACACTCAGCAAGGGAACAATTGCCCAAGACTGTTCTGGTATCGTGGCCGTGCGTTCGTGAGCCTTCGGAATGTCCACTTGCTCGTAGCAGGTGGCAACAGTTGCCGGAGCTTTTGTAGCTGCAACTCTGACCTGAGTCGCCAGCATAACTGTTGCAGTCGAAAACTAAATTAGCTCCAACAATAGACTCAGTGATGGGCTGGGTGATCATCAAACTCTGAAGGACTCTCAACCAAATCGGTGGGAGAAGTAGGTTCAGGCAGATTCTTTCGCAACAGCGTCAATATTCGATGCACCAAATTTCCCAGCTCGTTGGCAAGACTGCCTTAAGAGATGATCAAAAGCGGCAGAGTCCGAGGACCATGTTCCAGATCTTCTGCAAACTACTTTGCGGAACCCAATGGAATCCAAGGCACTGTTCACTCTCTTGATGAAAGTCTCATAGCTAAAGTCTCCGTCCAAACCAAATGACAAGCAGCTCCCAAAAAAGAAGCGAACCGCATCTGCACCGAATTCTTTGACCAAAGGGACTGGTTCCACAACATTCCCAAGCGACTTCCCCATCTTCATGCCATCTTTTGTTAAGAAGCCATGGGTGCAAATATGCTTGGGTAGTGGCAGCTTTGCAGACATTAGCATCGCAGGCCAATACATGGTATGAAATCTCATGATGTCCTTGCCAATCACCTGACAGGTGCAATGCACGCAAAGGTGAACAATTTGCCGAACTTGCAACCGTCCATCATTACATGCGACTCTAGAATGATGATTCTACTCCTAGCAGTTGCCATGTCAACATCTATCAACCGTCCAAGTTGCATGGACATCTGCTGGCCAACCACGCTCGAGGACTGTATCCAGAGTTGCTGGATCTTCGGGTCGCAGCAGGGATGACAAGTACCCCAGGAGCGCATCAAACCAAACATAAATAACCTCAGCTCCGATGTGGTGCAAGGAAAAAACATGATGACCGCGTGCTCAAACTGATCATGTTGCTTAGATCATGGGACCTGTGAATCATCTCCAGGGACAGGGATTCCCCAGGATGTGCTGGCACGCGAAATTGAGAAATCGCGCTTGTTGTCCTCCTCCAACCACACGAGCACTTGGCTGCGACGGCTGCTTGGCAAAATGAAGTCCGGGTTCTCTTCCAGGTGTTTCCGGAGATCATCCCAATATTTGGAAAGTCGGAAGAAATAGTTCTCTTCACTGCGGAGGGTGCACTCTTTCTGATGAATCTTGCAAACGTGCCCTTCGAGCATCTCGTCATCGTCCAAGTAAGCCTCACACCCGACGCAGTACCAGCCAGTATAGTCCTTCCTGAATCACTGACATCTCAAATAACGGCGGGCTGTACTCAAGAAAGGTGAAGAAAAACTGAAACTGCAAGAAGCTGCTAGTAGCAAGGTGGAAAAGGTACTGCAGGTTGCGCTAAAAGTCTTGTAAATGTCCCCATTGTCCAGGCATCGCTGCCACATCTCGTGGACAATCTCCTTCGAGGGGTTCGGGAAGGAACATTGATTAATAAACATGTATTGTAATTATAGTATAACATACAGTATCCAGTTTGGTTTGGCCGCCATAGTGATAAATGCCTCTCCCCGCTACGCCTCTGTGATTATATGGCGTTAAACATTATCTCATCCTTTCCTCTGCCTTTTGGCTGGTCAGAGTTATATAATGTGGAAAGGTACGCTGAGAAACGTTCCCAGGGTTTGCGTCAGAGCCTTGGAATCAAGCCTCGGAACATCCAGCGTCATTCGTCATTCAGGTTTTAGACGACAGGCCTTGTGCTTGTCAGGCGTGGTCCGCGCAAAGTGATCTGGCTGCACATCCAGCAGTTCCCAAAGATCCTGCACTTCACAAGGCATCACAAGACAATTCTATTGATGGCGCGTTCGCATCGATTGCATTTTTCCTCTCTGGAGCGTTCTTTTTAGATATGTATATATATATAGAGAGAGAGAGTCGAAACACAAGGGTGACCCAAAATCCGGTCTGTCATAGAGACAGTCAGGAGTAATTGCTGTGATGAACTAAGTGTTCTTCTTGTTGCCATAAAGCAACTGTCGCACTGCCTTTGTGCAAGTTAGGAGTTACAAACTCCCGCCGCACACTTGCCCACTCTTGCAATGATGCCACATTGAGCAAGGACTGATTTTTCCATGTTCTTCATGGACAGAATGACAACATGTCAATCCACTGTGCCGTGAAGGAGAAAACATAAAACATTTTCTTGCGCTTGGCTCAGTGGCAAGTATAAAAGAGTTCGCACTGCCTGTGAGAATTGCAAGCTCAGCTACAGTGCACATATCAACTGGAGGAGCGTGCCCCTGGCCTTGCTCTTCTGCTTTGTCATCAAATTATGCGGCCAATTGCGGCCATCTGAGGGGAGGGTAAAACAGGGAAACGGCAGAGAGAAACAGCTCTCAGGCCATGTCCTGGAATTCTTCTGCAATCCCATCCACCAATTCCTGTGGAGTTTTCTCAGCATCTGCCTTGGAAGCCAACTTGGTCCCTTCTCACATTGTTTCACCGTGACGTCTCCAAAATAATGCCACAAGGATGCACAAACTCCTAATTATATATATATAGTTATACACATCATCATCATCATCATCATCATCATCATCAAGCTAAGGTGCAGCCGTTTGAGCTATCTTCTCACCATGCTCGTCCATGCCAGTCACATAATGCACTTCCGCTTGCTGAAGCTTTCCATACCGGGCCATCACGTCTGCCGCAATGGCTGGGTAAGCACTTCCTTATATTCAATAAACGGCGCTTGTTGGACCATGACCAAGAAGCTACTAGGAGCACAGGGCATCGCTACTAGGAGCAAGGACGCTACTAGGAGCTCCTGGTATTACTACTAGTAACAATAAGCTACTAGCCTGTTGAGAAGTCTTTTTTAACTGCTCCAGTTGAGTGTCCCATGTGGGGAGATCCATTGGCATAGAAAAGTGGTGTTGTCACTGTAAGTTTCTGGATGTTGCCTGCAGCGACATCAAGAGAAGCATGAAAGGATTGATATTGTTTGAGTATTTTGAGTGTTGGATTTGCATGCTCATGGGCCACATTGGGCCAATCAGATTGGCACTGCGAGCCTGCATCATCTCTCTGCAAGCGAAGCTGCGGCCGCTTGACAGCAACAGTGCCCTCCTGGCAGAAACAAAACACAATTGAACCTCTCCACGAAACTCAAGGTAGCTACTTGTCTTCTCTAGCTCTAACTCGATGCGTTGGATTGCACACCTCTACTGCCTCTTCGACTGCTGTGGCCACGCCAGTTGCAGTAGCCAAAACTCGAGAATCTATTCTCAAGGCCTGGCAGGGCATACGTGTCACGCTGTGTCGTACTGTTTGTTTCCCACTCTGGAAGGCTGTCTTATCGCTATCCCATCTTGCGTTCAGCGTGCACAGCCCCTAGTGCTTACACAAATGATTGACTGATTGCAACAAACGATCGTGAATTGTTACATTGGCATTGCCCTTGCCCACATCTTGCCAGGCATGATCTGAGGCCAAAGCCCTTGACTTGCTACTCCGCCAGGCAAAGACATGCGCGTAGCCCAAGCAGCTTGCACCAGCAGCCAATGAATATTTTGGAGGCTCGAATGTCTTCGTTTTCCAACTCCTCTGTCTTTTCACAGCCCCGGCGCGCGCCAATCTCCAACCAGTCGCAGGGCCAGGCAAAGTTTGCAATGGCTGCATGCAGGCAAATCGAGAGCAAGATTCGAGGATCCGAAGAACTACGGGATACCAGAGCCGGAGGCGTAAGCGTAGTCATTATGTAATATTACATTTACAAAAATATAATGGGATGCTCATGAAACGATCTAAATCTATAGACGCTTCATGTGACCAAGTTGGGATCAAGCAATGCCAGTAGCTGGCAACAGCTGCACTGATGTCCAAATGTACCTTTCATTTGCGCGCAAGCCGCCCCTCTCCACTTGTGGGCCGTAGTGAAACTCCCCATTGAATCTGACAGCACGCCTTCCCCAGCACAATGTGCCAGCATTGCCGCAAATTTTGCCAAAAGTGGGTTCAGGTCAACAAGAATATATAAAAGGACTGAAGTGAGCATTCAAACGCGGCAACAAACTCGGCACATTGAAAGTCCCAATCAAGTATTCGATATGGAACCTGATTTTCCCCGCCAGGTTTCCCGGCGAAACTGCTAAGAGCAGTTTCAAGGACTCGAGCATTCAATGATGTTCAATGACCAAATCAGCCCAAGTTCTTCGAGTTGGTGACATGACAAAACTGGCTGCCGGCTGGCTGCCTTGAATCGCTCCCATCGTCTTTGCCAATCCAACTGCATCACCGAGCTTTGCCAACTTTGCCCTTAACTTTCTTGTCTTTACTACCTTTGGAAGAACCCTTAGCCTTAGTGGATCCCTTAGCCGTATTTGTCTTCAAGACCTTCATCTGTATCCTCATCTGCTTCATCAATGTAGGTTTCTCAGCCGTCTTTTTCCGGAGTGCCTGAGCACACGTTGCTGCACACTGACAGCGATCATCACGATGCAATCCAAGGGCTCAAACTAGGGTTCAATTGCTGTTCGAGTTGCTGGGTATCTTTTTGTTCCAACATCCCCACGGATAAGCCCACGCTCTTCAAAAAACTCATCGGTGCTCTTCTCATCCTTGTTGTACATCATATCAACCTCCAAAAAACAAAAGCGTATGCTTCTTGCATTTGCTAAATGTTTCTAAATGTTTATGTCGCAAAAAAGAACTCCCGACAATCCATCACCCTTTTTGTGGCCTGCCAGTTCCGAGGAATTGGTTGCAATGTTCGAAAAATGACGGCAGCCAACTTTTCCCCACTCTTCAGCAGTACATCCTGCGGCGAATGCAGAATTTGCACTGTCCACAGCGCACACAATGTTGAAATGGACCGTGAACTGGGCAAACTAAGAGGCCGGCACTGTTGGGGGCAAAGTCAATGGTTGGGAGCTCGCTTGGACCTCTCCAAACCCAACAATGAAGCCAATCAACACAGCTAGCACTGAAACCGCAAACTCAACACTTTCACACCTGGGCAAGCACAGTACTTGAGCAGGGACCCTTTGTAGGGCACAGCATCCACCATGCCCTTGCTGGTTTCTAGAGCCCACTCCATGCGCTTGTAAGGTATCTTTTTCTTTTGGCAGAGCTTGCCCCACCATGCTGCATAATAGCCTTTGGGCAAATCGCGAGTGGCAATGAGGATCTTTCCAAAGCGTGGATGCTTGACAGCACGCAAGGATGGATCACCATTCTTCATACCTGACAATTCACATGCTCGGGGTATGATCTCTATATATATATATATACACGCATTCATTTATTCCATTCAATATCCGAAACATTCTGACACTGTTGAGCAAATGTGTGCCCAGGTGCACTGTTTGCAATATGGCATCAACTTTGTCACCCTCGAGTTTGGACAAGGACGCCCAGACCGGGATGTTGACATGCACCCACCACTTTTTGGCAAATATTGCCCGGATGCTGAAAGGCGGCCTGCACGGAAGCGTTGCGGAAAAAACATGACAGCCAAAGGCAGATTCCAGAAAGTCAGAAAGCTGCCTTTTTCCGGCATGTGCTTGGGTTTCGCCATTGCCCCCGAGGATGTCAAACAGGTTCTGTCCAAACTCCGTATGAAATGCATGTGTGGTGAAGAGATGCAAAGGAATGATGCTCATGCACGGAAGATCATGTTCATGTCAATTTGATAATGTCAACTGTTTTGCCAATGGGCATCAGCCTCGCGGGAAATAGCATCCATGAAAAAGAATAACGGACCAATTATCCAAACATGGACCCGTGAACAATAAAATAACATTGATTGAGCCCCACCTCCTGCCCGCAACAAAAACACGGCGGCGCATCACACCACATGTATTGGCTTGTTTAACCAAGGTCAACACGCCTCCGAAAACAAGTGCTCGTGTGGAGTGCAGCCGCTGGAAACGCCTGCGTTCTTCAAATGTGGAACAGAGAAGTTCGCACATTTGGGAGTGCAGACCTGCGACGCTTCATCAACTCAATTTTTGTCAGGCCACGGTGGATTTTTGCGATTCGTGAGTCGCCTACGTTCACGATTGGCATCTGACACAACTCGAGCGGGATGTTTTCTACGATAATCACTGTATTTGGCCCCGGCGGCTGGCCTGGAATGGAAAGTGACAAAGCAGCAGCAGCTACAGATTTGGATGGTCACAGTTGCGTTGTTAAGGTTGCCCATGGTGATGCCCTGGCAGTGAGATGCCTTGAATGATGAGATGTGACAGGCAAGGCGAACTGGAGCTATCCTGCGGAAGTGGTTCGTTTCTGTGAAAGACTAGTCACTAGTTGTTGCCGAAATTGATGATGAGAGGGTGGCGCCATGGCCCACAAAACGTGGTGTGTGTTACAGTTATATGTATATACGTGTTTCAGATCAAAGACGCATTGCGAGTCGCTTGGCAAGGTGATCCTTAAAAAACAACTAGCCTGTCTGAAGCTATCTGTGACGCACGCTGCGCAAATCACTGATCAAGTTACTTTTCCTTCCGGCATGCTTCAAGCAAGTAACCACTTTTGTGGCCGGTCCAGGGTGAGACGCCGCTGATGCGTCAGGGGAGCCCTACTGTCTCACTGTTCCGTATGACAAGGACACACAAGCACCGGAAATGTGCGTTAATGCTGAAATCCTTTGTCCCCTGCAAGGGCCCTCCCCCTATACTTGTTGAGAAAAATTCTACTTGCGCCCTTTAACTAACGCACGAACGATGAACTCTAAAAGCTTCTAAAATTTGTGCGCAACATCATGTAAAACCTCCCCAGGCTCATTCATGTCCGTCCAATGCGCGAACCTACTTGATGCATTTCCTGGCGCAATGAGTCGAACCTATCTGGAACTCGTGCATGGGGCCTTGGCGTTTGTTGCTAGCATTTCGAAGTTCATGGTCCTGTTTTGTTTGACACCGAAGTGTCCCCAAACATAGTGAAATTTAGTTATTAATCAATGAATGTACGTTGTTTCCTTCTTTTCCCCTGCCGATAGATGAAAACTATGTACAAACCCCAGCCAGCCGTCGGGCAACTCAAAAGTGAAGGGGGGAAGGAGGCACTGGAGGCGGAAAGGGCGCCAGCGGCCGCAGAAAGCTGGCTGGTTGCCAACGCGCGCCTAAGCAAGGACCAACCCCGTCGGTGCCACCGCGCAGAAGCGCACAAGCCAAGCGGCGCCGCGGGCGCGCAGAGTTGAAATAAAGGGCAGCCGGACAAGGGAAACGCCTGCCCCCGCCAATTCGGGCTAGCGGGCCTCTTAGCCTGCCGTGCCATTGAGATAGCGTGCCCGTCATGGCAAACAGCGCCGGGTTTGGGCTTGCGAGCCTGGTGTCCCCAGCAATGTTGTGAGTGGAAATCAAGAAGAGCGCCAGGCAGGCTCGCCTGCTGCACCGCGGCAAATGCAAGCCAGCGGGCCAACCCAGGCTGGGAAAACACAGGGAAAACGGTCCTTAGCATCCGCCATGTTTTTACCGGCGAGGTCCCATTTTTTTTGAGAGAGGGACGCTGTGAGGGCCCGTGTTTTTCAGTGTTTTCGTGTGTTTTTTACTATATTTGGGCCTGTTACACAAAGGATATGAAGTCTGTAGTGAAACAGCAGGTCTTGCATCACATGTTCCAGTTTCAAAAACAAAAGAATTGATGCTACGGCTGCTAAGAGTAGTGAAGCAGCTAAGGTAAGCTTTGACCAAAAATAGTGTAATTTATCTTTTTAGTATCAATTTCAATGTAATGTGATAACCTATTAGTAGGCCATACAAATAATACTTTGTAACCATTATCAACCATTTTCTGGCAGATATGACTTGTGCTTGCTCCTGCAAGTAGTATCCTAATCATTGTTTGGTTCACTTTCTCAATGTCACTAACAATATCATCAGTATCAGTATCACATTTATCATGTTCAATGTATCTATCTTTAGGTGTTGAATTTTGTACAATTTGATTTTCTACAACTTGCTAAAATTCATTTGGTAATTTAATATCCGCATACGTGTTCACTCTCCAGCCTCCATTCTTTTTGATAAAAGCCACTCACTTGGGCTCTTTTGATCTTCAGCTTTGATGGTGAAAGCATCAATCTTAACACACTATACTGTAATACCAGCATGCTTCAGTTTAAAGTCAGTTGCATACATTTTAACAATGGTGAAAATTGGTGTCAAAATTAAAAATTTGCTTTTATCACTCTGCTCTACAAGACTTGCCAGCCTTCGCCAAAAATCCTAATCTGGAGGAGGGGGTCGGCCCCTTTTTTTGGTAGAACCCCCCTCCCAGCCTTTGCCAAATGCTCTTGATTAAAACACTAAATAAAATATATTTGTCTTTTTGCTCGACCCCCCTACCAGCCTTTGCCAAATGCGCTTTATGTATTTTTTTCTTTCCCCCCCAAGAGATCCCTCCTCTCTTCCACCATCAGATTGAGACGTCCTTGTTCCTTGCCTACATTGTGTGGCACATAAGCTTTGGTTATTGTTTCACACAATTTTTATATATTACAAAATAATATATAAGAACAGCAAAAAAAATATATATATTTATATAAAGAAAGTGATTTTATTGAAAACAATAGCTTTTCAGAAACATTGGAAAACGCAGGCCCCCACAGCGTCCCTTTCTGATTGTTTCACCACCCGTGCGGTAAAAACGGTTAAAAGCGATCTTTTTTTTGTTTTACGGGGGGTCGCAGTTCTTTTTCACTCTTTTTCCATCAGCGCTGTAAAAACGATTAAAAAAATGAGAAAAAACTTACCGGGGATGTCGACGTTTTTACCACCCACGCGGCTCAAAGGGTAAAAATCGAAACTGTCATTTTACCGTCTTTTCCGGACCACCCGAACGGCAGAAAAGTCAATGTTTTCTTTTGATTTTCTCACAAATGCGGATTTTTCCTGAAACCTTGGAGCCACTGTGGATTTCGGTATGTACACTTCTGTTCACGTGCGTGTCATCCTTGCAGCAGGGTGGCCATGCTAACATCTGTCACCCCGCCTTAAGGGTTCATGAAATCAATGGACCCTTACTCCAAACATTCTAAATTCCATCACATGTGAAACTCTATCCACTCTCAAGCGTTCAACTTTTAGTCTCGTGCATTGAGTGGACTTGTCAAGGTCAAAATTCTTCATCCATCATTCCCCTTCATCGTCATCAACAATGACCTCTTCTTCTTCCTCTTCCATGGGGTGGTTGTGATCAATCCATGCGTTCGAGTCTTCGCTCTCTTCAAGCGGCCCATGAATGTCCACATTGCGTGGCCTCTCTTCTCTTGCTTCCTCATTGGCATCACCTGCCACCTCATCTTCACATTCACTGCCTGAGGTGGTTTCGTTGTCGGAAAAGAAGGACAAACTGCTTCCACTCTCAATCCATTTGTTGAAAGTGATCGCTGCAGCATGAAAAGCTTTGGGCTTATTCTGGCGCATCACGCCAAGAAGATGCTGGAGATATCGCAAAGTGTTGCGGCCTGACCTGATGTCGTCACGAAAACTGCTGTCACGTGTCATCTCCAGCTCACGAATACGCTCATTCAAATTGCGACATGCCAAAGTCAACGAAACCTCTGGACCGTGGCCATCATTCAATCAACAATCTGGTCCTCAGCTTCTGAAGGTCTTATGAAAAGATGGGAACTCCTTCAAGCCCCCAAACCAACATTGTTCTCATTGAGCCAACAAACCATTGTGAGCCATCAATGACCTCTGCTTCATCTTCCTGCGGATTCAAGAATTCAAGAACTGCCTCAGCTCTTCGGCAACAAAATCTGAAACCATCCGCTGTGCTGTATCCGCATCTAGGCCTCTGGAAGAACTCGAAGGCTGTTGTTGCTGATCTTCTCCTTCATCCTCTTCTTCTGGATTCTCCATCGTATGCACACCTTCATGCACACACTTCCTCCTCTTCAATGGTGTTTCCTACCATTGCCTCTTGTGGCCGATTGGTACAAATGGGAATGAAGTCCTCCTTCAAAGTAACTGCTATCTGAAGCTTCATCTGCACCATGGCGGCTGTCATAGCCTCCGTGACCATCTCCTTCATCATCACCGTAGTCACCGTCGTCATCGTAGTCATCATCATCATTGTCTGAATGCGCTGACTCTTCACCTTCACCTTCAGCGAGTAGAAAAGGGTTCTCTTGTCTCCGCAATGCCAGCTCTTTCTTCAGACCTTTCCAAACACATCTGTACTTTGCCAGCTGCGTTCGCATCCCATGCATGTTGAACACCAAAACGGCGATCACGCTCATGAGGACAAAGACTAGACTGCCCAACACAAAATGCGTAGGCTCCATGCATTGTGCATCACCACCTGTTGCATTCCTCCACATGTCCTGTCTGACATGTCATCGTCATTGCATCCCTGGAGTAGTCCAGCGGCTAGAAGAACCTGAATGATCCTTTAGACACGGGGTGCAAACTCCGTTCAGCCTCTGGAATTGCAACTTCCTCACCATCAATCAATGTTCCGAAGGTGCTCAAATTCTCCTCCCTGTCTGCCAGGAAGGTCAAAATGACATACTGTTCGTTTCGGGGAATCTCTTCAATGCGACTGAATGGATCCTCTTTCTCCAAAAATCGCTGTGACACTTCAACAACCTGCCAGCCTTCGTCGGGATCAACAACCTTCTGGATCATCGTTGTCCTGTAGGCGAAATTCGCAGACCACACAGCACGAGGGTCAGCATAGTGCACACCAACAGTTTTCATATGTGGATGGTTGTTGCTCACGTCCCAACAACCATACGGCATCTCTCTGTAATGTAGGTTGGGCTCAACCGAATGACTGCTCTGACTTCACAAGTTAGTTACTTCATCTATCTCCACGTTCAAGACTCGACAAACAGTGGCCTCTATGACGAATGAACTGCGCTGGAACACCACTGGAATGCGAGCCTGCTGATCTGGTGATGTCAACATGGGATTGGGTCCATGTTGCTCGATTGTCCAGCCTGCTTTGTAAAGCTCTCCCAATGAAAGAATGCAGTTGTTCACGTTATGCCTCAGCTCAATCTCCTCACCTGTCACGGAATCATAGGCAACAAG